GAGATTGGGTAGGAGTCTCTCATTACCGTCGATTCTTAATCGCATGACGCAGCGCGGTCTGCCCTGCATGATCGGAGACGTTCAAGTCCGCCCCAGCAGCCACCAGACTCAACTGGAAGTCAGCGAGGAATCGTTTCATCCCTCCCTCGCTCCCTCGCTCCTCGCTCCCTCCCTCCCTCGATCCCTAGCTCCCTCCCCTACCTCGCTCCCTCGCTCGATAGATCCCTCGCTCCCTCCCTCGCTCCCTCCCCTCCCTCGCTCCCTAGCTCCCTCGCTCCCTACCATCCCTCCCTCCCTCGCTCCCTCGCTCCCTCGCTCCCTCGCTCCCTCCCTCGCTCCCTCGCTCCCTCGCCCCCTCCCCTCCCCTCCTGCTCCTGCTCCTGCTCCTGCTCCTGCACCTGCACCTGCACCTGCTCCAACTCCTGCTCCTCCTTCTCCTCCTCCTCCATCGTCGCTCATCTCTCCTGAATCACCTTCGGGCAATGTCGATGTCGCCGAGCGAGAAACGCGCGCTGAGATGCAGGGGAATCTACTCGACAAAATCAATCACTGAGAGCCAAGATGCACAGGAGCAGGAGCAGGTGTAAGAGCAGGAGGAGCGGGAGAAGGACAAGTGGAGAAGCAGGAGAAGAGAAGAAGAGGAGAAGAGGAGGTCGAGGAGGAGGAGGGGAGAGGAAGAGAGGAGGAGAGGTGAGGAGGAGAAGGGGAGCAGATGAGGTGAGGAGCAGGAGGGAGGAGAAGCAGGAGCAGGAGCAGGAGCACAATGAACTGGAGTAGAACTCACGGAGGAAGGGAGGGAGTAAGGAGCAGAGGAGGAGGGCGAGGAGAAGGCGAGTGGCGTCAGAAGGAGTGAAGAGCGAGGACGAAAGAGCAGGAGGAGGAGGTGCAGCAAGACAGCTACCTCGCCCAGGAGGTTCGACAGGAGCGGGGAGGCCTTCTCCTCCAGCAAGAGCTTCACCACCTCCGAGGAACCGCTCGCTGCGGGCAGCTCAGCGAGGAGCAGGGGGAGGAAGTAGGGAGACCTGCTGCAATGTGGAGAGAAGAGTTGCCATTCACGTCTCGATGATCGATCTTGCAGGAGGGTGAGGAGAGGAAAAAGTTTCCGCCAGCGTCTCACCCGCGCTCCATGCTCGAGCAAGACCTTGGCAGCACCGGACTAGACGACATGGTCACATGTTGTTGAACCCAGCAACATGTCCACCTGGTTTGCTCGAGCACACTGGAACAGAGCAGTCTTGCCGTCGTAGTCCGGCACGTCGACCTGGAGTCTCTTCTGCACCTCAAGTCAGGTCTGCGGCTCGTACAACCCGTTCTCACGTTGACAGTGACTTGTACAGGTTTCTTCTTCTCGTCGTAGTCGAGGAAATGCTGCAAGGAGGGTCAGCCATCCGAGGAAGTCGTGGGGGATGGAGAGAGTTCAACCTGCTTCTCACAAACTTCCAGCAGCCAAACGAGTCGCTCAACGTCTCCGCGGAACGCGCATTCATGAAGCTCCTTCACCTTGCAGCAGACATAATATCAAGAACCCCCCCCCCCTCCCCTCTCTCCTCCCTCCGGTTTTCTGCCTCCTCTCGCACTCCTTTCTGCCTCCTCTTGGCCTCTCCTCTCCCTCTTCTCAGCCTGCTCTCCCTGCTGTCCCTCCCTCCTCTCCCTCCCCCCTCTCTCTCCCTCCTCTCCATCCCTCCTCTCACCCTGCTCTCCCTCCCTCCCTCACCTCGTCAGTGGCCGCCACCTCCCCGAGCTTGTCGGGAGGGAGGTCCTCCCACACTGACACGTCAGTCAGCACGACGGCACACGTCGCACGACAGCTTACCAGGAATCAACAGCTCCCTCTGCTCCATCGGCCTGGCATCCAGTCAGCCTCCTCAACCTGGAGCTTCGAAGCTCGGTCACCTGTCGAGGTAGGATACAGCGCTCTCCTCGCTCCTACTCCTGTCCTTCTCCGCCTGGTTTGCTCGTCACTCGAGCCTAAGAAGGTGAACTCGTATGCCTCCTCCAGCAATGACCGTTGCGCCTCCCTCAGCTCGTCGACTGTGCAGATGGACAGAGCCTGGAGTTCTCTTTCTCACATACAGAAGGGATTTTTCTTCCTTGCTTTCTGTTCACCTTGAACGCCATGTCCTCCTCCTGAAATCTCAGAGCGTCTTGAAGTTCACCCTGCAGGTCATGTCAAGAATCGCAAGACACGTCAATCCCTTCAGGACAGTCACGGTACAGGGTTGAGATGTACCTCGAGAGTTTCGATCATGTTCATACAATCGCTCCCATCATGTAGAATCCCTTCTTCGCTGTGCGGCCATCCCATACCACTCTCCTTCATCTCCGAACACAGCTCCTGTAGGTCAATCCCCACCTGATCCTTCACCTCAGTCCCCTCCCTTCCTACAGTTCCCTTGAAACCTCAAGCATCCCAACACAGAAAAGAGTCGGATGGTCGATACCGAACCCCAGCTCCCTGCAACGACGACAGCAGTCAGCAAGCCGCTTCTACCTCCCTCCCCTGCAGCACCAGTCTCTCGGCGACCAGAACATCTCCTTCTCTCTGTCTATCAAGGCTTGTTCTAGCTCCCTCTGCTTCTCCGTTGTGAGCATGGGAAATCTTTCACTGTCAGCGCAGCATTCGTTCCAGCGGCTCATCAGCTCCTCAGGCGGCTGGTTGACGCTGATGAACAATTGTTTTGCCTCTTTCATGCTCTGAAAAAAAAGGATCAACACTTACAACCTGCGATGTTATCAATCGAATACTGTTTGCGCTCGATCAAAGTTGAGTTTGGCTGAAGCAAACATCCCTGCCTGCCACAGGCTCAACCAACAGACGCTATGCTGGAGCGACGCACTTCTTGATCTTTCATGCCTTGCTGGATACATTTCCTCGCTAGAGACACCTGACAAAAGAACTGACATTCTGGTTGAAGAGAATACAAGTTTGAAACACCTTCGACTCTCCCTCTGCCCTCTTGTTTGCCTTATCCACCTCGCTCAGGATCCGAAATTCAAGTTGTTTTACTGGAGCAGATCGATCGAGAAAGTCGTACACGACAACATCAGGCAGTTTCGGCTCGTTCTGCCATCACGACGCTGCTGTTCACACAGCAGCACGATCAACACCACGAAATTTACCAAGAACTCGAGGGCCTCGTATAGATCGCTCTCCAGCACATCGCGGGCTTTTATCCTTCTCCCTCCTGTACAGACAGTCTGTTTGTTCTCCGACGAGAGGCGGAGAGTTGTACCGGCAGTCATCTTGTTCAGCTTCAAGGACTCCAGTCCTGCTTTCTCAAAGTGATCTTGGACTCTTTTGACCTTGAGCCGTGAGTCAACAGACGAACAAGAAGCGGCGAAGGAAAGGAGAGGAAGGGAGGGAGAGAGGGAGACAAGGATGGGAGGGAGGGAG